GATATCTTCAACCGGTTTTGATGACGGTCATGTAATAGGATAGGCGATTAGTTTACCTATCTTCTCTATTGCCAGCCGGTTGTGGCGTGTTGGGCATTTTGTTTTGGCGTTGAGGCTCTGTGTGAGCTAGCCCTTCTATTTGTTTTCAGACTTTTAGACCTTGTTGAACCTCGTTTACTTTTTAATAAATGTGGCCGTATGCATCGTTCTGATGCAGAGGCCAGGGAGTCCTCCCTTTCTGAAAAAAAAACATCAATCAAACACGAGGTGAGGTGGCGGGAACCCCAGCTGTGCAAGCAGAGAGTTTTCGGCTATAAACGGCCATGTCAAGGACCCCGCCCATCGCCGCAGCTATAAGCCCGGTGCGGAGGGCCACGCGTGACACGTGATGCATGGCGAAGAGGGTTTGGGCGACTCCTAAGGCGACCATGTTTCCAAAGGGGTATCCCGGGGACACATGCTGGACGGTGCACTTGGTCGACTGGGCAACCCCAAAACAGGCTGCCCAACGGCCCACGTAGAGTGCGTTCATGGGGACCGCCAGAAAGCCAACGGCGAGGCGGCTCCCGTTTGGGGAGGTGTAGACACCGTTGATGAAGTGGTAGATGGAGCCGAAAATGGCGCCAACGATGGCCTCGTCGCGCAATCGATGATGTTCGGTGCCGGCATCTCCCCGCCCGTCGGTCTCGTCGTGTCCATGGATCGATCGGCTTCTTGGTGGGTTTCCGGCGGCGGAGGTGTTGTGGCGAAGCGAACTAAATCGGGGGTTTGCAGTTTGGACGTCTCGACCCGAGTCTACGGCAGTTGGCAATATATGGAGTACGTACCCTACATGTACGTCCCGTATACGACTGGGTAGATGCCGCTTTTTCCAAGCCGTTGCGTTGCTGACTACCAATACGTGTACGTAGAGTTTGCCTTGTTCACGTCATATCTGAATCGACAAAAAGGTATAGGGTTAATAATCTAGTAAATTTTGAGGAGCAATGAAGTACATAATTTGAGTATAGGGTTAAACCCTGACATGACGAGCGTCTATAGTCTTTCTATATACGCACGGTACCACCTTTCCTTATAATCTTTAACGGAGCTCAGCGAATCTAGCAATAGGTTAGACTCTTCAGGGAGACCTCGATTCAATGGCGGCGGCGGCGCTGCCTTCGCCGTTCAGGAACATGCCGTCCTGCGCCGCAGAGTGCTGAGTCCGCGAAGAAGCCACCGTCCGCAGGCGGGCCAAAACCTACACAAACAAACGGAGCATCGTGAAACTGCTAGGTAAATTGGTCGCGAGCTATGAGCTGGGCAAGCTAGGCTCCAGGGCAGGCGCAAGCGTCCGGCACGAGGCGCCGCAGGGGATCTACGAGGTGTTCCCGATCCGCGACCCCAAGGCCACCTTCGGAAGCCGCCGGGCCTGCAGCGACGCCGTCCACAGGGGAGACGTCGGTCCTTGAGGGGTTCGATCTCGCCCGCGCCAACCGGGGGGACGAGTTCCTGCCCGACGATGTCGCCCAGCTCGTCCTTCGTAGCCTCGGTGACCAGGCTGGTTGCTACGACATTGACACATCTCTTAATATCAAGGTGACGGTCGTCGAGGCAGTGGCGGACCAAGGAATTCAAGTTAGCCAAGGCGAACAGGTTAGGACAAAAAAAATTGAGGCACAAATACAAGTGTTTCCAACACAATAAATGGCCTTGAAAGATTCAGTTTTAGTATAGATAAGATTATACTATTAAGAATATGGAAAATTATATTAAAAACATCTTAGAAACTAACATGATCTCTGTTGCCTGAACACTCATTGGCTGTAAAAACATGTCCCAAAACTCCAAGCAAAACCTACATGTAAAAAAGAAAAAATATGTATCCAAATCTCATTGCCTACTGACATGCTCGGGAAGGTGAGCTAAGGATTGGAATTTGGGAGGCAGCGTGGGAATTTTTCTCCAATCGAACAGTACTGAATCGAACGATTCAGCAGGCTACAGGCACGTGGTGTGTTGGTTCCTGAAAAATAAATAATGGGCCTACCACACCTAACTAAAGCCCACAAAGTCCAAGCCGTTTAGGCCCATCTTTTCTTTCTTCTTCCTCAGGAACATAACTATTCAACAGAAACGAATCTCATGGTCAATGGCGCTCCTCCCCTTTGACTAAGACTGAAAGGGGCTGAGCTGGGTACCTTGATCCGCATCAGGAGAGCCGGGGCTGCCGCCCCTGCTCGCCCCAATGGTAGGTCCGCCACTGCGTCGAGGATATGGCGGAGTGTTGTATCTACCTGTCGGACCTGGTGGAGGATGAAGACGCTGTGAGGCTGCCTGGTTGCTCGCACGCTTTTCACCGCTCCTGCCTTACGCCGTGGCTGCACAGAGCCAAGACGTGCCCAATGTGTCGCGCCGTTATGCCCAGCCATGTGTTTTACAACCTCATGCATCCCCCAAAGCTTCAATGAATACAAGGTTTCTCATCCGATTGATGTGATGCGCACGTCCTACAGGCATGTAGCGTGTTTTATTTTACTTATAGTATCAAATCAGTTAGGTCTTCGTTGGAAAGGACATTGGTTGGTTGTCATTATATAGACAAAAATTCGTATCGAGAATACATGCTGTTATCTTGAATGCATGTATGATTTCAAGATTTTTTTTTATAAAGTATAGTTCTTACTAACTCATAATATCACACGAAGGGAATATATACAACCATCATGAATACAACTATGGCCTCTACATGATTAGAATGCATGTAACCGACATCAACAAACCCGGGCCGTGAGTAGGTCGATGCTCTCCTTGGCAAAAATGCTACACCTATGAACTCCTACGTAAATCACTTACAAAAAGAGATTTCCCCGTTGTCTTCAGGGATACGTCGCGCCTGCATGTCAACCTGCAGAAATTGAGTTTCCGATCAGGTGCGATGATGTCGCCCTTGACGACTTGCTCCATATTTTTTCTGACTGGAAGGTCCAGTTTCCCAATGTAGTATCTAGGTCTGCCAATCACAATCAAATGGATCCGACAGGTCCAACTCTAGTTCATTCTTGACGTGCTCATCTGGCCGGCTTGAAGATTAGACTCACGCCCATGGCGAGGTGACATATGCTCGTGCGTTCTGTAATCCACGCCATGCCAACCTTTGCCCTAAACCTTTCTGCGGGCGCCAAAGGAATTCTTCAAGGGATCAGCAAGATTACGTGTTGTTTCCTTTGGGCGCGTGATAAATGAGCTCTCTGATGGCAAATGCAAGGTGGCGTGGAAGAATGTCTGCTCGCCGCTCAACCTGGGTGGCCTAGTATTGCAAGACCACGAAAGGTTCCGACGTGCACTATGCCTTAGATTGCTCTAGTACGCTTGGTGTCACCCGAAGCGCCATTGGGTTGGCATGGAGCTACCATGCGATCACCATGATAGCTAGGAACCTCTTCTCTTCCGTGACGATGGTGTGGGTGGGTGATGGCAAGCAGGGCGCCTTTTTCTAGGAATCGGTCTGGTTGTTCATTGTGCCGGTACGCATGGCCACGTTCCTCGTTCCGGAAAAAAAGAGAAAGGTCAGAGACGCTTATGGAGCATAACTATATTAAAGATCTGTGTGGCCGCCTGAATGATGAATTGATATCCGAGTTCTTGATGTTTTCGTTATCCCTAAAAATAGTTATTTGACCATTCAAGATCTGATTTAGTTGATATTTCAGCAACGTTTGACCATCTATTATTTATTATTTTTGTACATATATTATTTAAATGTTGAACTTTAATCAAATTCATTTTCAATGATTTTTTGCATGTCCAATGTTGAGTTTAATAATTTTCTGGTGAATGATTACTTTTCTAAATCAGTATCAAGTTTTTAAGTTTTCGCCAGGATGTTCCATACGTGTGAGTTTCTTCTACTTTGTTTCTTCAATTTTTTTTGTTCATGATGGTTGCCGTTTTGTGTCTAATTTATATATTTTTAATTTCTTGCGGGTATTTTGGCGGTTTTATTTGGTGTCGCAAGTGATATTACCGAATGTAAGGTGCTTGTTTTTGTCGCTGCAAAAAAAGGTGCTTGTTTTTGCTAGCCCATAATAGTTGTTCAATGTAAAAAAGTGTGTGCACTTGAGAATATTTAATTATAGAGCAACAAGTAAACAACTTACACTGAAAATAAACAAAAGTACTGCATAGTATAATAAGTAAATTACAACCATCGGTATCACAATTTAATCTCTGTCTTTCTCTTGTATGGCCGTGACTGCCGACTGGGCGATATGCCCTATGCAGAAGAAGAAGAGGGCGTGGGGAAGAAGAGGGGGCCATGGGGGTTAGAACTAACGGGTTGAAGCATCAGAACTGGATAGGTTTTGCCCAGCTTGGTTTTTGTGGTCCTAGAATAATCGACTAATAAAGATAAACGCCGAATCAAATTCAGGGTGACTGAAACTAAAGAAAATTTTCAGATACCTAACATATATGTGCTCTCATTTTTGAACTTATTGTTCCTCTCGGACTAGATTAGATCGGGCTCTAATAGCAATTTTCGTTCAACCTCCTAACATCCCTAACATTAGGATGTGATGGCCACAGGCTCGCTGAAAGTTGCCTTTCTATCTGCCCGGACATAAGAAATCACAGAAAACTTCATCAACACACCTAACCTAGTAAGTAATAACCTCATTATCACTGCAGATCAGGAAAACCAGAGATCACTCGAGCGATAACCCACACTCCCAAGTCTCAGACAAGACAAGTCTCCACCAGAGAGGCAGAGAGCAAAAATGCTAGACATACAAAGACTTACACGCTTTTACACGCTCCTTCCGTCTAACAACCAATCACAAACCTCTCTTTCCCTGATTTTTAGGGGGATGGGCCGCCCCGCTCACCTATTGACCAATCAAGATTAACCATCATGTAAAAGCCTGTAAATCGTTTGTACCCGTTACCCAACCACTACAAATTCTACTCAAACCAGCCAGCAACGCAAATGCACCTCCAGAAGCGGAAGGCGCACGACGACAATGGCTGAGGAGCCCCCGCCGGCGAGTAGGCCGAAGCCGCCGATGTCGCGCATCATGCGCCTATCCCTCAGGGCCGTGGACTACGTCGCCGACGCCACCCGCCGCGCCGACGGCACCGTGAACCGCCGCGTGCTCTCCCTCCTAGACCCGCGCGTCCCGGCCTTCTCCTCCCCGTGCCGCGGCGTCGCCTCCCGCGACGTCGTCGTCGACCCGACCCTCCGCGTTCGCGCCCGCCTCTTCCACCCAGCGAGACCCGCCGGCGACGCCAAGGGAGCGCCTCTCCCCGTGATCGTCTTCTTCCACGGCGGCGGGTTCGCGTTCCTCTCCGCGGCGTCGCTGGCCTACGACGCCGCGTGCCGGCGCATCGCGAGGTACGCCTCCGCGGCCGTGCTCTCCGTCGACTACCGCCGCGCCCCGGAGCACCGGTTCCCCGCGCCCTACGACGACGGCCTCGCCGCGCTCCGCTTCCTCGACGACCCGAGTAACCACCAGGCGGACGTCCCGCTCCAGACCTCCCGCTGGTTCCTCGCCGCGCTCCGCTTCCTCGACGACCCGAGTAACCACCAGGCGGACGCCCGCACCGACTGGATGTGGCGCGCGTTCCTCCCGGACGGCGCTGACCGCACTCACGAGGCCGCGTGCTTCACCTCCCCTGGGGCAGCCGCTGGCGTGGACAGCCCGGCCTTCCCGCCGGTGCTGCTCGTCATCGGCGGCTATGACCCGCTTCAGGACTGGCAGAGACGGTATTGCGAGATGCTGAAGGACAGCGGCAAGGACGTGAGGGTGTTGGAGTACCCGGACGGCATTCACGCGTTCTTCCTCTTCCCTGGGTTCGATGACGCGCGCAACCTCATGACACGCATCGCCGAGTTCGTCGGCGAGAGCGACGATGGCGGCAGCGAGTAACCCTTATTCCACGCCTGCTTGCTTGGGTTGGTTGGGACTTGGGAACCTGGATGCCGTGTCGGATGCGTCGTTTGGTACTTCTGGCTGCGACATTCTTTTGGTTTTGGGAATTGCTAACTCATATCTAGATGATATTTAAGGATGTCACATCTAAGTCCAGGGCCGTCAGATTATATATATCTTTAAAACTCGTGCAAAGTGATCGTTCCTCGCACGCTCGTGCACGTCGCGTTGACGTGCCTGTGTCTCAACACGAGATTGGGGTGGGCCGTCTTGTTTGTGGGCTTTTTTCTATTTTGTCTCGGGCTGGTCTGCACCGTTTGACATGTTTGTGGTTTTTTTTCCGTTTGTCTCAGTTGTGGGCTTCCATGTACTGTGGTTGAAATTTCTCAAAAAAAAAGTACCATGGTAAGAGAACAGTCAGAGAGAGTTGTCCCTATTTTCTCTCAAGAGGTGCTCATTCATTTTCTCACGTTGCTGTTTTTTTTCCTACAGTCCTTCACGTGAGGAGTGGGTTGGAAGTGAAAAGGGTGGAGTGAAAGTAAGTGATTTTCCACTCCCATTTGTTTTTTATTTATATTTTCTCTCTTTTTTCATTTCTTTTTCTTTTTCCTTTTTATTTTTATTTTTTTTAAATCTTGATTTTTTTTCACTATGTTATCAATTCAATTTAAATGGCGTGCAAATCTTTGTTGGGTTGTTTTGTCGAGTGTGTCCCGTGTTGTGTGTATTGTGTCTACTTATCGGTCTGCTCGTGTTTGTATCTTTTGTTGGGACGTTTTCATCGCGATCTAGGGGTCCTATTTCAAATTGGTTTTGTTAATTCTCACTTAGATGGGAGTTAACAATGTCTCATTTAACTCATATTCTGTTAGATATACGTGCTCCTGAGTTGTGCTGTTGTCGTCGTGTCGTATTTTATGTTTGCCCCTTGTGAAGCAGTGATGCCTGATGTGACTTTTTTAGTGGGCCATTTTCTGTTTTTAGTGGGCTTTTTTAGGGCTACATGTCTTTCTATTATCTGTCTTTATTTATTTTGGTTCAATTGGGTAGCTAGAGAAGAGATTTTTTTCCTTTCGAATTTGCTAAATCTCATCTTTGTGATGTCTCATCTAACTCCATAACCGAACGATTTGTTTGCTTTAAGATTTGCACAAACTTGATCATGCGCACTTATGTCAGCTTGTTTTTTTGTCGCGCGTCCTCTTCGCCCCATTTTGTTTTGTGTTGGCTTGTTCTTGTGATTCTTTTTACACGAGTCCATATATGTTGTTGTTTGAGGGGCGTGACGCGTTTCTCTTTTTTTCGTTTTCGCTATGCATTTTGATCTAGTGGAGAATTTGTAGAGTCCACTCTTCACTCGCAAATGGTCTTGTAAGTCCACCCTCGACTAGCAATGGGCATGTATTTTGTTTTTCATTACAGTTGCAAATCTACACTCGACTTGCAACTGGGTTCATAATTTGTTATTGTCCCAGTTGCAAGTCCACCCTCCACTCGCAAATGGTCTCGTAGTTGTCCCAATTGCAAGTCCACCATCGACTAACAATGGACATGTATTTTGTATTTCATTGAAGTTGTAAATCTATACTCGACTCGCAACTGGGCTCGTAGTTTGTTATTGTCGCAGTTGCAATTCCACCCTCGACTCACGAATAGTATTATAGTTTTGTGTAGCTGTCCTGGATGCAAATCCACTCTTGACTTGCAACTAGACTCGTAGTTTGTTTCATCTCAGTCGCTAGTCCACCCTCGACTCGCAACTTGTATCGTAGTTTTTCTAGTTGTCCCAGTTGCAAGTGTACCCTCAACTTACAACTTGTATCGTAGTTCAGTGTACTTGTGCCTGTTGCAAGTCCACTCTTGACTCGCAACTAGGACCATAGTTTGTTTCATCCCAATTGCAAGCCCAGCCTTGACTTGCAACTCGACATGTATTTTATTTTTCCTCCCAATTGCAGGTTCACCCTCGCTCACAAATGTATTTTGTGGTTTGTTTTATCCCTATTGCAAGTCGATCCATGACTTGCGACTAGGCTCGTAGTTGTTCCAGTCGCAAGCCCACCCTCGACTCGCAACTGAAGCATGTTTTTTTTTGTTTTTTCATCACAGTTGTAAGTCCACCCTTGACTCGCAACTGGGCACATAGTTTGTTTATCCCGATTGCAACTTGACTCTTGACTCGCAACTACGCTTGTATTTTGTAGTTGTCCCGGTTGCATGTCCACTCCCGATTCACAAATGTGCTCGTAGCTCTTCTAGTTGGGTGTCCACCCCTCAGCTAGAAATTGGGCATGTGTTTTGTTATCCCAATTGCACAGCCACGCTCGACTCGCAACTGGGCTTTTGTTTGTTATTGTTCCGCTTGCAAGTCCACCCTCGACTCGCAAATGGTATCATAGTTTTGTTTCATCCCAGTTGCAAGTCCACCCTTGACTCACAACTGGGATCGTAGTATCCTAGTTTTCCCAGTTGCAAGTCCACCCTCGACTCGCAAGTGGGCACATAGTTTGTCGTTGTCCTAGTTGTAATTGCGTCCAACCTCGATACACAACTAGGCTCTACCAATATTTCTCCTAGTTGCAAGTCAACCCTCCACACGCAACTGGGGTTCCAATCCTTTTTTGTCCCATTTTTGCAAATCCACCCCCGACATGCAACTGGGGAGCCTATATTTTTTTCGTACCAGTTGCAAGTCCAACCTCAATACGCCACTGATCCCAACCCATTTTTCTCCAAGTTTCAAGTCCACCCTCGAGTCAAAATTGGGTTGCAACTCCACCTCCAAGATGCAACTGAGGCGGAGCCCGCCTTTTTTCTAGTTAAAAGTCCACCCTCGATACACAACTAGACCAAAACCCTATTTTTGTATAGTTGCCAGTTCACCCTCAACACACAACAGGGCCCGACCCTTTTATGTACTAGTTGCAACTCCATCCCCGACATGAAATTGGGAGGGACCCGCCTTGTTTTTTTGTCCTAGTTAAAAGTCCACCCTCAATACACAACTCGACCCAAAACCCCATATTTTCCCTAGTTGCAAGTCCATCCTTGACAGACATCTGGGTGCCCTTATTTGTCCTAGTTGCCACTCGACCACCGACATGCAATTGGAGGAGGGGACTTTTATTTTCCAGTTGCAAGTCGACCTTTGATACGTAATTGGGTCCCACCCTCAGTTGCAAGCCTATGCTCGAGACGCAACTCGGGGAGTGGTGACAATTCTTTTTTGTCCCTAGTTGCAACTCCACCCCGACATGCATTTGGGGAACACATCATTTTTTTGTCCCAATTGCAAGTCCACCCTTGATATGCAACTAGGCCCGGCCTAGCTTTGTCCTATTTTGCAAGTCCAATTATACACTTGACATGCAATTGGGGCCCCGTTGTTTTTTACCCCAGTTGCAGGTCCACCCTCGATACACAACTTGGGGCCCGACCCATTTTTCTCCTAGTTGCAAGTCCATCCTCGATACGCAACCGGGGAGAGTTTTGTCCGAGTTGAACCTCCACCCTCGACATGCAATGGAGGCACATTTTTTGTTCCAGTTGCAACTCCACTATCGACATGCAACTGGGGACCAACTCATTTTTGTCCTAGTTGCAAGTCCAACTACACATCTGACATGCAATTGAGGGGCCACTTTTTTTCTTGTTCCAGTTCCAAGTCCACCCTTAGTATGCAACTGTGTGTGTGTGTCCAATTTTGCCTCAGTTGCAACTCCTCCCTCAATACGCAACTGCCTTGTAGCGCCTCGAGACCGATGCGCCAGGTGTCTTCCAGTTATTCGATGTCGTTGTCATGTCATTTGCTTGTGTGTTGCATCTTGTCATGTCATCATGTGCATTGCATCATCATGTTTTCAAAACTTGCATCCGTCCCGGTCTCCTTGTTCTTTCCGTTGTCCGTTCTGAGCCCAGACACACTTGCTCGCGCCCGCGGCATGTCCGAAATATTATTTTATAAGTGGCCGGAAAATGTTCTCGGATTGGGTTGAAAGTTGGTGTGTGGTCTTATTATAGTGTAGATAGACCGCTTGTCAAGTTTCTTCGCATTCGGAGATCGTTTGATGCCCCAACGGATAACTATAGCGGCAATATAGCCGGTCTAACGTCGGACGTTTTCGGTCTCCGGAAACCATGCTGGGCTGCATCTCTCCCCTCTTCTCTCAGACCAACCCGCTCTTCACAATCCGCCAGACCCAACCTTGCCTAACTCGTTAGCCCGCGGCCCTCCTCGCGCGCGCGTCCGAAAATTGTCCCAGACCCGACCCGGGCAGTTGCCACCGTTGGATCCGGATCATCCCCAAACATCTACAAAACGTCTCCGTTTTGTTAATTGGACTTCCTAACATATTTTTCTCGACCGCCTGATTACGATCGTAGCGGCAAGATAGCCCTACCCTAATCCCTACCTTTTAAAACAGTCTAACCCACATGGTATTTATAGTAGATGAATCCCTACCCTTTTGACAAATCCTAGACCATTTCCCTCTGTTTCAGTGCGTCGCTGCCACTCCGTTTTCCTCGGGATCCCTCCCGATCCAGCCGACCCTGACAAACTCCATCGTTTCCAGCAAGGGCCAACCATCTCCTCCCCATGATCCACCAAATCCCCAACCTCACAAGCCCCCTCGATCCTCTCCTGAGCAGGTGCTCGTCCGGAGCCCCGCGTCCGCGTCCGGCAGAGGTCTGAGTTGCCGGACCAGCAGATGAGCTCCATTCCCCATTGCGCATTTCTCCTCTCCTCTTCCTTCCTTCCTCCTCCCTCTCTCTCATGCCCGATCCTTCCTTCTCTGTCTCAGGTACCCTGGAGCCGCCATGGAAACCCCTACCACTAGACCTGGCCCTGCCTCGTCGGAGAGATCCTCACCATCGCCGCGCCCGTTCCCGACCTCGACGACCACCTGCAGCCTCGCCGGGTTCATCCCCGCAAATCCCGCCGCCTTGCTTCGTCCTCTCCGTCCTCCCGCCGTGGAGCAGCACCGAGCTCGAGAGGA